AGCCATAGCTGTAGCAAGTCAACAGCCCAAATTTTGACTTCAATCTTGTAAACTTCTCATATTGTCTTCCATTGTGAATATCTGATGTAGACAAGTAGGTGCTGAAAGGAAGCCTTTGTAAGGTGCTGAATGGGCCATTTATTTTTGCAGAGAGTTATGCCTTCCAGCTTTTTTGTGCTGCTGAGGTTCTTTTTGCGAGTGGATGGGGTACTCATCAGGATGAATGATACAAGGCTTCATCATGAGGTAAACCCTTACTTTGCATCTTTTTTTACAGAGGTTCCCTTGCCATTTTACTTCCAGTGACATGGTGATATTCCTTTAGTTTAATACTCATGTTTGGGGGCATAAAAACTTCTTGAGTGTATTTTATTATTGGCGTGGTGCTGAGCTAGCAACTGAGTGCTGGATGCCGTGGTGTGTGAGCACAGTAGGCTACCCCCCATGGGATGTAATCATTTAAATACATTTGACAACACAAATTAGAGAAGGCAGTACAAGAGGAAAAATAGGCAACAGTAAAGAGTTCAATGTCTCATCTCCAACTATGGTCTCCAAGTACGTTATTTTTGCCTTACCTAAGAATTAGACTGCAACTGTAACTTGCAAATGACTGTCCACAGTACATTGAGTTCTGGTATTTCATAAATAATACAGTATGTTAAGATTTGTAGTTTGGTAATTCTGTGTAGATGTGTAGGAGTTCTAGCTGAGTAAAAATTAACAAGCATATTCAGTTATAGGATTTTTTTTGAAGCATGCACACAGGTGGTTTTTCAGAAAAACACCACATTGTTATCATCTGTCTTGGTGAATGGGAATGTACATTTCTTCTAGGTGAACCTAGTCAATTCAGATGTGGTCAACCAAATTCCAGTGTTTACTAAATTCAGTATATTTAAAGTGCTTAGTTTCTACTGATACCGGATGATTGCTTTTTTCCATTAGGCTGACAAGACCTACATGTTGCGAGAATACACATCCAGGGAAAGCAAAATATCAAGTTTAAAGGTATTGCATTTTTAAAAGTTTGTTTCTTTTCCTTCTGTCTGCTTTTTAGTTTTATGGTCAGCATAAGTTCTTCTTTGTACCATTTGGAATTAACACACAGGAAAATTCTGTCTGCTTATGCAGCTTTTGTTTTGATGACTAGAGCAGATTTGCATTTTGTAAATGCCGAGATCACAAGATAAGGTATGGGATTAGGTAACTTTTTCTGCTGTTGAGTTAATAAAATGTTTTTATTATTTTATTTTTTTCATAGAACTGTTCAGCTGCAAAATCAGGTACTCCACATCCCATGATGTTAAATTTCATGGCTGGTTGTGTGCTTGCAAGCAGTATTAGGGGTTAAGGTCTGTTTGGTAATAGACTCTTTCAGCTTTTCTCAAATGTTTGAGGTTAATAGGTCACCTTAAAACTCTAGTAATGGCTCAGAATAATTTGTAGCACATTTGGAGTTGCAGCTGTTGATTTTTATTCGGGACAAATGCCTGACCTTCCATTTCTTGTAAATTTCCTTCTCCCTTATTATTCCTTTGCCTCTAAGAAGTTTGTCTCTAGTGGTGTTTACATGCAGTAAATTATAAATTAATTGTCTATAAAAGTTTGGGGTTTGAATACATTTTCTTATCCCCTTTTTTCTTTCACTTGTTTCATGTAAATTTTTTACTTTTTAGAACGTTCCACCTTCCCTGTTCACAGAACCTAACGAGATCTCTCAGTATCTACCCATAAAGGAGACAATCTGTGAAAAACTTGAATTCCCAGAGAAGCTGGAGCCCAGACCAGAAACATCACTGGAAACCACATGTGCTAAGTCTAAATAAATGTGACTTCATAAGGACTTGAAGTAGACTGGAGATAATGTGATCACAGTTGTTGTCATGGGGGGCATTTCACTACTAGTGGAATGAAGAATTTGGCTAATTTTTCTGTAGCCTTTGGGAGAAAACATTTTAAGCAGGTTTTGCTAATGGTGTTTTTTGTTTGGATTTTGTTTTTTTAACCTGTGTCTGGAGTTGATGATAGACTGGTGGTGAGTTACAGTTTTCAACAGCATTGGAGAAATGACTGTTGGGAGTCTGGGTTCTGTTTAGTTCACCAAGCAGGCAGGAGTATTGTCTGGGCCCCCATCTGCTAATACTTCTATGAAGATTTTGTTAGTGCTGCTTCAGATACTAAGAAACTACCAGAGTTGTAAAACTGCCATGATTTTATTTTTGTTGAGAAATAATCCACAGTAAAAAAAAAAAATCCTCTGCATTTATTTTGATCTGTCAATCTTAAACTACCCATTTTGCTTGGCTTTCCCTACTGATAACCAACAAAGTTACTTCTTGTAGTTTCTGATCCAGAGTCTCACCTAAAAATATTCATTTCATTTGAGGATAGGTGTAGGGAAAAAAAATACATTTGTTTGACACCATATAAAGGTAGAATTATATGTGAGGCATTAACTCCAGAGCAGGAGGAGAGCTGGAGGTTAACAGAGACACTGGTAAGTCTCTTCACCAATGCTAATTTAATCTGATGTCAGCTGGAGTTCTCTGGGAAGTTTTGTGACTCTCTGTGCAGTTCTGGGACTCTGACTTGGGGTCCCTGTGCTTGCTCCAGTCATGTATGATGCTGGAAAGGCATTGTTCTGCACTGGCCTTCTCTTGGATGTGCCCACATGTGATGGTTCTACTGCCCTGACTCTCAAATTGCAAAACTGCAGTAGGGCTTAAGGCTGGGGAAGTCTGATCCCTAAAGGATGCTGGTATTTGCAGTTCGAAAAAGGAGATCCTGTATGGCATTAGAAGGATACTAATGTGTATTCCAGATACATAATTTGGTTTATTTTAATATTCTTCTAATGTTGATAGAAGTGTGATCACTTGTATAGTCATGGTTTCAACACTCTGTAGATGAAACTGAAATACTTGTATTGCTTTTGAAAATCCTGCAATGTGTTACTAAGAATGGGGCAGCTGAGCAGGCTTGTCTGGGTTTGCTGCTGACACTCAGTGCAGGAAGCAAGTAACTGCAGTGAAAAGCAGGCCTTGTGGTACAAGGTGCTTGCAGATAAGAACACGTACACATCCTGATATCTTGGGGTTTTTGTTTAAAAATCTGTATTCTACACTGCATGGCTTACTAGAAGCAACCCACCACAAAACCATATCTTTTGTGAACTGGTTTTCATGTAGAGAAGACTCTGAGGTTTTTAGGGGAGAAAAAAAAGTCTACTGCATCTAAGTGACTGTTTCCTTAGTAAAAACAAATAACACATAAATTTCACTTTTATTTGAGGAAGCCTGGTCTAGTGAATTCTACAGCAGATGGAAAGGCAGGAACTGCCTGCAGTTTTTCCTGTGTCACTGATTAACTGTGGAAGACCTTTCTCTGTGCCTCCATTTCCTGTATGTAAAAATGAGAGTTAATATATGCCTACCTCACAGAGGGACTGTGAGGATTAGTTTGTACAAAGTTATTGATTAGAATATTTTTTTTCTGAGTACACCTTCAGCCTTATCTTTGGAATCCTTTGCAAAGGATTACTGCAAAAGAATGATCCATAGGATGAGTGAAGAAAACTGAAATGAAACAGTTTCTGAGAGAAGTTGTCAGCCGTAATAATTATCAGACATGATCTGGGTGAATGCATTTTTGGCCACTTTGAAATAGAAGTGTTCCCCATTAAAGTCCTAAATTCTGCTGGCTTTTTTTCATCTTCCTGCCCTTGTTTCCTAAACATTTTAGTGTCAGGATGAAGAAGGGGATTGCAATTGAGTACAGCATGGAAGAGATTAAAATCCATTTGGTAATAGAAGATTATTTGGGTGCAATCCAGTGATAGAGGAAAATGAGGAAAGAGTGAAAAGGAAGGGAACAACAAATGGGGGTGAAGAGATTTTTCTGGTAGAAGTAAATCATGGCACTTCTTTTACTCTAAGCATATATTAGTATACATGCCTTAGGGCTTATAGAAACACACTTTATAGCTGGTGTGACTGGGAGCAGAGGTCATGTAGTGCTGGCATGAAGGAAACTATAACTGCATCTTTTAATTCAAACTCTAATTTGGGCTTGGTCAGTGATGCTAACATTAAACTCCTTTGGGCTGAAATAGAGTGTGGGTGGAAAAACCACTGAGTGGGGAGGGAGCAGTGGAAAGGGCACTCTGCATGTTTAACTTATACCGTGTATTTTCTCTTGTCCATCATACATCCTAATTTGTGACTCATTGGTAAAGTTTTATGGAATGGACTTGTATCCTGACTATAGGTACGTGTTCTCCATCTGTTCTAAAGGGTATTGTGCATTTCAGTGGAACACAGGTGTTGGGGAAATCACAAGAACACCTTTAGGAAGTTAAAGTTACAACAAGTTCAAAATTGGAGCACTTTGTGACTTTCTTACACCACGCAGATTACCAAGAAGCAGCGGTATAAACTGGCGTTCAGCAAGCTCTCTGGCACAAAATTTCCACAGAAAAGTACCACTTTGAATAAATAACTTTAGGGGGGAGGGAGTGGGGTGATTCTCCAGCTGTTTTGTGTCAAGTTTTATGTGGCAGTTTATATTGTTCCTTGTATGTTGCTAAATAAAACGTACTAAACATTTACAGTTCTGTTTTTAACTGAAGATTGAATTAACTACCTGAATTGAATTAGATTGAAATAACTACCTGTGCTGCTGAATTTTGGCTGCTAGTAAGACATTGTATCCACATACCTTTGTCTGGCAGGAGACTGCTCGGCTCGTTACGAAAATAAAGCGAGCGGGAGAAGAGCCATAGTCGTGGGATTAAAATGAAACCTCACTGTGACTATAAAATGAGTTTGGCTACTGCCAAGTGATGGATTGGGAAGTGCCGGCGGGAGAGAGGATCCATCCACATCCGGACTACATCCCCCGGCAGCCCGCGCGCCGCCCCGCCGGCCTTCCCCTACCTGCGGCGCGCAGGTGGGCGCGGTGCCTGCCGGGGCTGGTAGTCCCTGGGGAGGGAAGGGCAGGCAGGGAAGGGAAGGGCAAGGCAGGGCGTTCCGGCCGGCCGGCCGGGCTGTGGAGCCATGGACAAGCTGAAGCGGGTGCTGAGCGGCCGCGACGCGGAGGAGCCGAGCGGCCTGGCCGAGGTAGCGCTGCCGCCTCTCTGCCGGGCGGGGGGACCCGGGCGGGGGGACCCGGGNCTGTGGAGCCATGGACAAGCGGCTGCGCTCCGCGTCCCGGGGCTCGGCATCCCCCGCTTGCCGCGGGACACTCGGGAGCTGCCTGGGCAGGACACGGAGCACAGCCTGAGAGGAAGTTTTCGCGCTCGGTAGGAGGCAAGAGGTACAAATAAACAAGTTTCGCTTTTGTTTTTTCCCCTCGTTTCCAGGTTATCGACGCGACTTCGTTAGGTTGGGGCACCCGAGTGAAAGGTTTCATTGCGTGTTTTGCCATCGGATGCCTGTGCTCGATCTTGGTAAGGACGTGTTGCCAGATCCCCCCAATATTTGAGTTTCAGGAGCCCAGATAATTACAGCCTCTCTCTGTGCTGTTGCTTGATTTTTCCGAGTCTGCCGAGACGTTTAACTCGCTTCCAGTTAGATGCAATACGCCGACTCTTAACAAGAATAATAATAATAAATGCGATTTACTTTCGTATGCGTAATTCTGCAGTTTGGCTTGAAGTCTTCCTAAGATTTCTTTTGTGACTTGACATTTCTTGGATATATATATTAGTTTCAATTTTAAACCTGTTAATTTCTCCCCCCCCACTTTTCTCTGAATGTTCCTTTTTAGGGTAGTTGTCTGCTATGGATACCAAAGAAAGGGCTGGTGCTCTTTGCAGTGTTTTATACCCTGGGGAATATTGCATCTATTGGGAGGTAACCATCTTTATATATCATTTCCCTAATATGGATGAGAAACAAAAGCAGAATGATAGTGCACGAGTGGTAGAAACTGCTGCATTTGTGAGAGAAGATTTGCTTTTGTAGATAATTTTCTTGTTGAATTCTACGGAACATCATTTCTGTAGCAATCTGAAATGGTAAAGGAAATTTTAATATTGTTTAATTGTTTAATTTGTTTATTGTTCTTAGCAATGCATTCAAAAAAGTTGCTCATCAGTAAACAAGAACAACACTCGTGCTGTGAGCGTTGAGGTTTTTTGATTTTGTTGGTTGCTTCTACCCCAGATAAAAATAATTCTTTGCCATTTTGCATTTGGAAGTGTTCTGTGTGTTTTGGTGAATATATTTGGGGCAGTCTGTCAGGGCAAGCATATGTGGTAAGACTTCATGGCCATCAAGGTTCTTGTAGCAAAGCCCTACATACTCAGTGGCAGGCCCAGCTTTCTGTGATTGTGGAAACTTAGCATGATGCAAGAAAGCATAAATAATGGAATTGGAAGTGATATGCTAATAAGGAAAAATAATACAGTATATGAGGCAGAAATATCACTTTAGATAAAACTTCCGCCTTGTGTAATTCATCCAGTATCCATCACCAGGGCTCTAAATGAGGCTGCAGATCTGGTAAGGGATCAGAGAATGGATCCAGGCCTGAAAGCAGCCTTTTATGTAGAGGAATTGAGCTGGATTACCTGGCAATCCATGGAGAGCCTTTATGGATGGTGTTCTTGAAAAACAGATCTAAAAAGCATTTTTGAAAAGCAGGTTAGAAAAGCATCTGTCAAGGATGATCTGATTGGAGCTGACCTTGGACTATGCTTCTAACTTGATAGTTCTGCTTCTGTTAATTTGAATGGAACCAATGTGAATAAAATTGTAAATACCTTGCACAAAGAAAAGGGGGAATGGATTTTGTCTCATTGCATAATCCCATTTCTTTTGTTATGCTGCACTGATTACCATAACAACACAGTACTGATGCCCCTACGGCAGTAGACTGCTTAATCATACAGAGTTTCGCTTTTGCCTTTCTCATTTCCGTGTTCATCTGCACTTGTTTTTCACAGCACTATGTTTCTTATGGGACCAATGAAACAACTGAAGCGGATGTTTGAGCCTACTCGTTTGATCGCTACTATTGTTATGCTGGTAAGTATCCAAGGATTTTAACTCACACAAACCTGGCAGCAATTTTCACTGTGAAGTACTTCCATACCCATTGATCCAGCTATGGCTCAGGATGTGTCTGGGAGTGGTTTTTTGGTTCGTGGTTTTTTGTCTTTTCTTAAAATGTCGAACACTGCACATCTGCTGTAGTGGAAAGGTAAGTGTAGAAAAAAAAAAAGGAAAAAGCACCTCTCTGTTAGGCAAGACTGAGCTGAAGCCAGCTTGTTTCGCTAAATGAGCATTAAGGGTCTGTGACTGGTGTGTGTGAACCATGCATGTGCTCTTTTAGGGTACTTGAGGTCACAGCATCATATTTATGTGTTGCCTAAAAAGTGAATGATGGGAAACTAGTTTTTTTTAAGTTGTCCTTTGGATTTTGCTAGATATTTCACTTTGCATAATTTTGTCCTTTTATATTCTGTCTGACTGCCTTGAAAGAGCTGTGTAGGTATTTCTACCTTCATAAGATCATCTCTTCATGACAAAGCAGCTGAGGAAACTGTGTCTTGGTCACCTTGCATTAGGGATCATCCCAGCTGGCTGATAGCTTCAGGTTTTGAAATTTGTATGACCGGATGAAATTGCAAATTCAACATTCAGTGGAGTCATCCTTAGAATTATTTTATTTTCAGAAGATAGAAGTTACAGCGAGCCTTGTGTTATGTGAGCTTCTGTGTCTGAAAGTTGCTGCTAAGTTTCAGATTGACTCTTCTTTAAAGTACATGGGGTTTTTTTTTGTCTCTGCAACTTTCCTGTTTTCTCCTGGCAAGTCCTGCTTTAACTTGTATGAACCTCCTGTTTTTAATCTGAATGTAATCAGTGTTTGTTTGGCATCAGCACTTTCCAATTTCTCTTTGCACATCCTGAGATACTGCAGAGCTTGAGAAATTGTCTGTGTATGCTTGCAGATCCAAGCATGAAGCTAGTGTGTGTGTGTGTGTCTGTGTGTGTGTGTGTTTTGTATGCATTCAGGATGCCTGGAGTCAGGAGAATTCCTGGAATGTTGTTCACTGGCATAAAGCCTGGCATTAGATGTATGATGCAGTATTTAGACCACTATACAAATCACCACCTTAAAAGTAATGGAAGAGCTGCATTTATTGTCAGTACTGGTTGAGCTCAAGTGTATGATTTCTTTGGCAATGCATGTCTTAGTGTCTGAATATGCAGTACTATATAGTTGTTTTTTTTCTATTCTAGCAGAAGGATGTACATTATAATCTCTAGTAGCACAGTGGTACATGTGTATCTAAAGGCTGTTAGGTGCTGATGAAGGAAGATGAACTATCAGCATCTATCATATACAATTAAGCTGTCATATCTTAAATTGAAAACTAATAGGAGGCTTCTGTTAAAACTGAGGGTTAAAGGAGAAAATAATCCTACTACCCTCCAAGATTTTACCTGTAGTAAAGAAAGAGAGACACAGTGCACACACTGAAAACAGAAAAAGGGCTTGTTTAAATGACTAGGCCTTACTTAAATATATACACAGGAGAGCTACTAAGCAACAGCCCAAAGTTCTTGAAAGTGTAGCGTAGTTTTAATTGGTGAGCTTTTAAATAATGACATAACTTCAATGCTGTGGTAACCATGTAATCATCAGGAACTGTGCAGAAGCAGAAGGACTAAGAGTGGTAACTGAAAAGTATTTGAAATACTTTTACGTAATACTGAAAAGTATTTCTTACAAAACGGTGAAATGTGGTATGTGCTTGTGGCACCAAGAAGTGTGTGGGATGGAGTAGAGACCTGCAAAAGAGCTGCAGGAACCTGTTCCTCTTGCTCCTTTGCAGCCATAAAATCACTTTCTTGAGATACCAAGATGATGTTTCCTGATTGCTTTAATTCACTTCAGAAATATAATAGTGAGAGCATTTTAAATACAAGGAACATTTAAATACAAGGATCTCCTATGATGCAGAATTAAATAAAACTGTGAAATGATGTTATTAATTTCTTTCTCTGTGAAGGACCCCATTACATTGTTGCAATATTTATAGAAACTGGAATTAGTTCTATTTTTAATTAAAATAATTTGTTTTCTTCTAGTTGTGCCTCATACTAACACTGTGTTCTGCTTTCTGGGTGAGTACCGGAGTCCTGTATGTATATACAACTGTAGTTAATATAGCTCTATATATAATATGTAATAGATAATATATAAGATAAAATATATAATGTAATAATATAATAATATATCATATAGTAATATATAAAATATATATATATATATTTATAAGAATATAGTATTTTAAAAGTAAAATTCTTACACTGTTGTCTGTGCTGTGTTTCTTCCCCCGTCCCCTCTCCTCTCCCTCCAGTGGCGCAAGGCAGGACTTGCACTGCTTTTCTGTATCTTACAGTTTTTTGCAATGGCATGGTGAGTGATTTCCTCCCTACACACTCCACTTTCTGTTGAATCTGACATCAGTAGCTGAATTGTGAGTGGATTTTGATGTCGAGTTAGGTGGAAGGAAAATTTTTACCTTGTCAATCCCTTGGATTCAAGAAAATGTATCAGTGAGGAGCTGGCCTGTTCCCACTTCTTGGTCTCTCACACCACTACAGAGGCTTTGGAGAAAGAGCTCAGAGCTCCATTTCTAGTGAAAGTTCATTTGATTTCTCTGGGCTTGAACTGAGCTTGTTTTTTCTTTCCCTTTTAAATCAATTTGTTGCCTGCTATCTGCTATTCCTCTTTTACCCTCTCCTGAATTTGTTTCATTCAGAGCTCCGTTTATGCCCATCAAGTTGTCAGTGTTCTTCATGTTAACACATGGTCTGTGCAAGGTCACCAAAGGAGTGCACAAACTGATATGGACACCTAGCCAGCCCTCAGCACTAATCTTGACTACCTGTAGGTGTTGGAGCATGAAGGATACTGGATGCAAGAGAGCTATGTCTAAAATGCTTCCACAACATCCCCCTCTATTTTGTCATAGTGTTTCATACTCTGGCTGGGCTAGGATGGCTTTCAGTGATACTCTTTCCTATTACTCACAAACTCACAGCTTCATTTTGGTTATGCAACTTGCAGTTTAGAATATCAGAGGGGTTGTTCTTGTTTGTGACTAAAAAATCTGACGTAAAAAGTAACTTTCAAAATCTTTCTTCTTAGGTACAGCATATCCTTCATACCATATGCAAGGTAAGCTTCCCAACACTCTTAACTCTGTGTCATTTTGAGGTTTAATCACACAGAAGATTGTTCTCAGTGTCAGTGGGATAGGAGCACAGAATGACTCTTATTAAATAATACAACTGAGGTGACTCTGACTCTCTTGTGTTTTTTTCTTTCTCCTGCCTGTAGGGATGCTGTGAAGAAATGTGTTTCAGTCTGCCTGTCCTAACAGGAATACTGGATGCCTCACAAAGTTCTAGGAAGTTCTAGATGGAACTGTGTTGAGATCACTGTGTTGTGTAGTTTCCTACTTCTGTTTTGAACACGTGCCTTTCAGCTGCTTGTTAGGAGCTCCTTGTGTTACACCCAGCGTCTGCAGTTGCTTGGGTTTGTAAGCAGTGGTGTCTGTGGGACAGGGGGCTTGTGATCAAATGAAATTCAGCCTGACAGAAGAACTGGGCAGAGGTCCACAATTTGTTATGGTGGTTCTTGCATAAATTCATGCATTTGGTTTTGCAGAATTTCCAAAGTAATGTGTGAAGTCTGTAAAGTGAAGAGCTTACTGTGCCAGTTCTAGAGTTGAAAACTGATTTCTTACCAGCCACTTGGGAGATTTTTGAATAGCTTTATGTCACTTAATCGTTGCACTGTTTGCCTTGGGTAATGGAATTATTGGTATTCTTTCTTTTCCTGCCTCTCTTGCAAAATTTTAGGTTTATGAGACATCTGAAAGATGTAATTCTAAAAGCAAACATAGTTGTGGACTAACCATGAAATGTTTGCATCTTCAATGAAGTATTTAATTCTCAGTCTATACTGATAGTCTTCCCTTAAATTACATGAAAGGGACATTTTCATCTCAAAAAACTTGTTCCTGTTGGAAAAGCACTTGTAAAATAAGGTCCATTGGTGTTTTCAGCTACCAGGAACCTGAGAACTTTTCCTTGCTCAGGACTGCAAGGTAGGAAGCTGACATTTTTCACAGAAAGTGAGATGCTTCTCTTGTCCTCCAGCTGTAGCATAAGAGCAATGCAAAGGGCATGGTAGGCAAACAAAAAAAGAATTTATGTATGTCCTTTCTCAAAAGACAAACTGTCATAAGGTAAGAGTGGGCTGTTGTTTTTAAGCAGCCTGGGTCAGGGAGAAGATGTTTTCCTCTGAACTAAGTTAAATTCCAACATTTCTATTTGTTTCTTTGTAAGTGGAATCAGTTTTCTTTCTGCTAAAACTCTTGCACACACCAGTGAACTTCTCTGCATAGAGGAGAAAGCACAATGTTTTATTGCCTGTGGTAGCAAGGAAAGTGTGAAACAGTCCTCTTTCCAGCTCCAAACAAGTGCTGAGCAGTCTGTTTCCAAATTCCAGGGCTACTCTGCACTCTCTTTATCTTCTGTGCTACGGATAATCATTCACTCCCACAGCATTGCAGTGGTCAGTTTAATATCTGAGCAGATTCTCTGCTGTGTGAGATAGTGTTTAACTGCTTTCCCCTTTCTTTTTACCAAACTCTCTTGCTGGAACCATTGTTCAAGATGATGGTTTCCCAGTGTACTCTAGTGAGAACTGAAGCATCTTTTCCTCCATCTACCAAGAGTTTAGTTGTTTAAGAGCATTGTGTTTGCATGGCAAGTGTATCCCTGGCTTGAACCACAAAGATTTTAATGTAGGAAAAACCTAGATCTACTTGGCTGTAAAGTCACAGTGAAGGCAAATAGCTCTATGGCTTCCAGAAAGCTACTAAGAAATTAATTAATCCAAAATCTTAAATTCACATGTCCTTCTGATAATTTATAAAGCTCAGTACCACCTACCTGTAAGGATCCTCTAAAAAAAAAATATTAAAGATCCCCTTTTGCAGATGGTATGAAAGGGAGATTTTGACAAGCGTTACTTGCCAGAATTACTGTTGCAAAAGAATTTAAATGAAAAATGCCCCCTTGGAAAGATGGCAGTGATGTTGGGATGAATCAGTTACGCAGATTCAAGTGCTATGTCCTGGCGCATTTTTTATCTCCCAGGATTTAGATGTTAGTGTTGAAATAAATGTATTGACTATTACTCTTCTTGAAAAGACTTGATTAAATGCTCAAGAGAGACTGGGAATTAAAGAAGACTGAACCTTGTTTTCCCTGGCTGATCTAAGACAAGTGTCTAAACTGATGTGTGTCTTTCTTTTATCCAGGAGCAAGTTCAAAACCTAATTTACATCTGTCAAAGGATCTATGCCAGTCTTTTTGTAGGCCTTTCATAATGTTTACAGAATTCCTTTGTATAAGGGAAATTGAAATGCAACCCTAATGCCTTTTACATTCCAATATTCCTTTAATTTCAGCATCTCTGAATTTCCCTGGAAAAAACAACAAGCACAGTATCCATTGTTTTTCCTTCCCCTCTCCAGCTCAGTTATGTTAACTCCGATCATCATTCCAGGTTGTGCAGCAACAGGAGCAGAATTTGACTTTTGGGATTCTTTTTTTGATTACTTCAGATTAGGAGTAAGGAGTAAAAGCCTTTTGCTTATTCCTTGGCTAGCTTGGGCAGGGTTCTGGTAGCCTGACTCCCTGGCAGTTCTTTCGGAAGAACAGTACAGTTGGGTATGGTGAATGTTAGTTTTCCAATGTGCAGAGTAGCTAACTAGAACCTTTTTGTTGGCTCTTGTAACAACAATAGCCAATTTGAAGTAGGAAATCTATGAAAATACCAGTAGATAGCACATGAATGGATTTTTGTTCTTTCCCCCTTTCCTCTCAGTTTAAAACTGTAATTCCAGCTTCACAGCCTTTTATTCAGGAAGAGAAAAGAACAAATCTTCATTTGGCTGCACAGCACATGAGGCTAAGCAATTGTGCCCTTAGAGGAAGGGAAGCCAAGGGGAGATGGCAAGGACTTAAGGATCACAAGAGTGCCACTGGGGTTTGTGTTGCCCTTTGGTGTTGTATTCTTGTTGTGTTCCTGGGGACATGAGACAGGAGGAGAGACTTGCCATATTCTTGCCAATAAGTGAAACCTACTCAGGGTTTGTCGCTTCACCTACAGCAGTTTTGATTTAAAATAACTCTCAAAGAACAAAACTCTTTAGACTCTTACTCACTTTTAAGTAGTAGTAGTGAGGCTGTTGACAAGTTTAACAGCAGAAGAAATTACTACGTCACTGAAGTACTTTATTTTATATGATTTTTACATAACTGGGGAATAAACTGTACGAATATTCCCTTTGAGTAGTTTTCAATTTGAATTAGATGATACCATTATACAGTTTTTTCTGGTCATTAAACCTACTTTGTGTTACATTTTGCTGTCATCAGCTTTGGTTATCTGCTTAGCATGAAGCACAGTGGGTATTCCTGAAGCTTTCCATCTCACTGTCTTTGAGGGCAGGAATGTTGGTTGTGTGTGCTCTACTGCAAATAGAGTTTGTGGTTTGAATTGCAAAGCTCCTTCCTTCCCAAAGTCCTTGCTCAGTTGCCTACTGCACTTAACTCAAGGCTGACTTCCCTAAGGAAACTTCTTTGATGTTGGATGCTCATCCCAGTAGGATTTGGTGTTCTAACAGAAAGTGCTTTTTGCTCAGCCTGTTGACTGATTTGTCCACTTTTTTTCACTTTTTGCTGTACAGATAATGTATCCTCAACCAAGCAGCCTTAGCATACAGTTCTAGCAGGAAATTTGTATATCCTGGATCAGCTGACTTTCCAGCTATATTAGAAAGAGAAATGGAGAGAAATAATGAGACTCTATACATTGAAATATGGGATTTTTTTCACTACTTCAAGGTTTTGCTCTGTTTTATGATGAGGTCTGTTATTAATACTGGTACTATCTGAAATGGCTCTACACTAATGACGTGAACAACTTCTTCTCATTTAGTATTTATAGTAATAACATTGTTCATGGGTTGTTACAAAAACCAAGGAAGAATTTTCTGCCAGAAGTTGAAATTCTTTTCAGAAACCATGTTTTTGAAAGGAAAGTGTGTTGGGCTCTGTGTGTGCCTCTGACTTCCTGAGAACAGCTCTTGCTTCATTTTGGCACTTAAAAATGTTCAAGAAATTGAGATCACTGTGCTATTGTAAACTGGGGAAGAGGAGGATGTTTAAACACATTTGTCTTAAATACTGATGTTTACAACCATAGCAAATACTGACCATTTTGGAGGGAAAGCACACAAATGGTTTATTGTCTTAAAACCACGTGCCTCACTATAATGTTACCACTAAATTTTTTTACCAGCTGTGGAATTGTTTTGTAAAATAAAAACCAAACTCAGAAATTCTCTGCAATGTTTTATACTGTTACTGATTCTGTTTGCTGATGTGCTTTTTCTGTGTATTTACACTGTTTGATTTCGACTTTGATAAACATCTCTTTTTCTGACTTAAAACTTTCTCTGTAATGAAGTGAAACCCTTACAAGTGCTTTTTATTTCCTTCAATAAAGTTATCCTTGCATTAAATGAATTGTTCTTACACTTAATGTTCTTATGGTTTTTTAAATGATGCTGATTCTCCAGATGATGCTGAAATTGCTGTGAGTAGTTTGTTTCCTTTTGTTTTTGTGGTTTTGTTTGTTTTTTTTTTTAATTATTGTCCTGTCCTCACTTCCTTTGCTGTGAACACAATTTGTACAGCTGGGGGGAGTTTTTGTGTCACCAATGTTTTGCAGCAGCTTCACCTAGCAGTTGCAGGCACCTAGACAGCTGGTTGTCAAGAGTGGAGTTGTTAAGGTGAGGATGATATTTTCATTGCTTCTTATTTACTTAACCTCTAGAGTCAACCTAGGTAAGCCAACAAGCTGTCCTTAGTCCATACTACAGAGAAAATAATGGCTGGTGCTATTCTGTCAGCAAAGACAACAGGAAACAACCTACCTCTGAAATAAATATGTCCTTAGTGCTGATGTACACTCAATAAAATGTAAATGAAGTAAAATATCAGTAATCTATGAAGGTGTGTTAAAAGTAATTAGAGGCAATTATTTTATTTATTTTAACTTTCAAAAAGCTGGTCTGTTTAAGTGTGCCTGCTATGCATCCAAAGACCTGCTGTGGTTTAATATTCTATGGCAGAGTATCAAGGCTCAGTGTGCATCAGGCTGTTCAGGCTATGTTACACTTTCTCCTAATTGACAGGCAGGTGGTTTGTTTTTTTCCTGTCTGCAAGGGTGGTGGTGAGACTTGTGTGCTGTGGGAGACTGTGTTAAGTTTTCAATTATCTTTATTTCATGGTTTTTTGATTGTTCTTCTAAGCAAGCTCTCTCACAGCTGACGCAACTGAAATTTCTGTCCTACAGGAAACTCCAAAGTTGTGTTTGGAATACAAGCAGCAGCCTTCTGTAGTGTAGAAACCTAGGGGTTTGCATTTTATCTTTTTGAAAAGGTTAGTGTCCCAGGAATGTCAGGAAAGCTGGATACATCTGTGTCATATCAAGACAACTGTGATTCCTCAAAGGGCAATAAATCCTTTCGCTGTCTAATAGCTTAGAGGTGTTTTGCTTGCCTAACTCAGCCTCCTGCATAACCACAAAGCTGTTGAACTTTGCCACTTCAGACTCATGCTGAGGTCTTAATACTTGAATGGTTAAATAAATGTGAAATCTTCATCTGAAATCCCTAAACAGCAATCAGCTGCCCTAAAGCGCATTCTGGTGATTAATGAACTTGCTCCTTAGAAATGCCCTGAAAGGGTTTCCCAGTTATGCTACAGCATCTAGACCCGAATCCCATTATCTTGCAAAGTCACCAGCATTCAAATACAGTGACAAGGCTCTTGGAAAGCTGCTGTAATGTCTGCCCCTTTCCCTTCTCCTTCCCCAAGGTCTGATTTGCAAGAGAAGGTATTTCACGGATGTGAGCCATTCAAAGGTGGGTGGTTGATAGTTATTTCCATCCCTAGCTTGTACCTTTGCTGTTGAGCTCAATATGTATGGGGGTACAGGCTTGTAGCTGCCCAGCCATGAAGTGCTGGAGAGTCCTAAAGGGGAAAAAAATTCTGTTTTTCTCACTTTTCAGATGAAAGCTGCTGGTGAATTAGAGATGGAATAGTCTATCTAAGCTGCCAATCTTTGGGATTGCTATTTTAAGTTAGCCTGGTTGAAACCCTTTTAAGTTTCTCTTGTGTTCCCTTGTGGCATCTCTAAGAGAAGTTATTCCCAAGAATTCGTGCTTCAAAACCTCCGTGGGGATAAGTGTGGAGTAACATGGGTGTAGTGGAAAAATGGTACAATGAGAGTGTCACCTGGTCAGTGAGATTTCATTGCAGCTCTGAGGGGCTGTCATGCCCTAAAACCTGGGGAAGTACTGAGAGCTGGACAGGGGCTTTGTACAAGGACACATAGTGACAGGACAAGGGTGAACAGCTTCATACTTGAAGAAGGGAGGTTTAGATTAAGGATCTGTAAGAAATCCTTTACTGTGAGACACAGGAACCGATTTCACAGAGAACCTGTGGATGCCCCATCCCTGGAAATGCTCAAGGCCAGGCTAGATGGGGTTCTGAGCAACCTGGTCTAGCAGAAGGTGTCGCTGCCCATGGCAGGGGGGCTGGAGAAAGATGATCTTGAAGGTCTCTTCCAACCCAAACCATTCTATGATGCAATATGTGGTGTGAAAAGAAAGTATTTTATCATGGGCATGTGCTCCTGTGGTTTCTGTTTGTGTAACAGGACGTGTCAGGCTCATCACTTTTGAGAGAATCAACTGCTTAAATGGAGTTATATTTGCAACTTGTTAACTCTCATTGTTAGCAGAAAGCTTTAACCTACGCATGCAGGTCGAAAATGCATGTTTAGTTTGCTCAGTAAACACTGAATGTATTACTTTTGTTCTGAGATGTAAGTAGGACTTAAAGCTCTCCTTAGAATCTCTTACTTTTTAAATTATTTTCTGATCTTAAAGACGGGACCAGTAATAGTTTCTTCCTCTAGGTGATAATTCATGTCTGAAGACGTCACTGAAGGTCTTCAAGTAGAAAAAAATAAATTAAGGAAAAGTATAGTTATTGTTTAAAACAAACAAACTTACATTAATCACCAGCCTGAGTACATATATTTGGTTTGCTATCAATCTTTTGGTGAGGGGGCTACAGGGGTGGCTTCCCTGGGGAGCTGCCAGAAGTTTCCCATAGGTTGATAGAGCCAAGGCCAGCTGGTTCCAAGATGAGCCTGCTGCTGGCCAAGGCTGAGCCCAACAGCAAGAGTGCCTCTGGGATAACGTATTTGAGGAGAAAAACCCCTTGCACTAACACATCCAAAGAGATGGGAGAGAATGTGTGAGAGAAGCAGCCCTGCAGACACCAAGGTCAGTGGAGAAGGAGCGGCAGGAGGTGCTCCAGGTACCTGAGCAGAGATTCCCCTGCAGCCCATGGTGCTGAGTGTGGTGAGGCAGCTGTGCCCTGCAGCTCACGGAGGCCCGTGGGGATGCTGCAGAGACCCACCTGCCAGAGCAGATGGATGCCCATATGAGGCTGGGATTTGTGGGAAGCCCAAGCTGGAGCAGACTCCTGGACAGAGGAGCCCACACTGGAGCAGGTTTGCTGGCAGGACTTGTGACCCCGCAGAGGACCCACACTGCAGCAGCCTGTTCCTGAAGGATTGCACCCCATGGAAGTGACCCGTGCTAGAGCACCATGTAAAAAACTGTGGGAAGGGCTGGTGGAGAAGTTCATGGAGGATTGTTTTCCATAGGAGGAATCCTGTGCTGGAGCAGGGGAAGACTGTGAGGAGTCCTTCCCCTGAGAAGGTGGAAGGGAGGAAGAAGAGAAAATCAGGAGGGAAGTCAGGCCTGGGAAGAAATGAGGGGTGAAGGGAAGGTATTTTAACATTTAGGTTTTATTTCTTACTAGCTTACTCAGTTTTCATTGGTAATAAATTAAACTAATCTCCCCAAGTCAAGCCTGTTTTGCCCATGATGGTACCTGGTGAGTGATCTCTCCCTGTCCTTATTTCAACCCATGAGCCATTTGAAATATTTTCTCTGTCCCTGCTGGGGATGGGAGAGGATGGGAGAGACAGAGCAGCACCCACCCTTTGGCAGGTACCTGGCACCTATACAGGGTCAACACATCACACTACATTTAGTTTTTTTCTTTGGGTTTGTTTGTTTGTTTTCTTCCTTCTCATTTTAAAAAGCAGAAAGATTGTTGTGGAAAGCCTTCGCTGGTCCTTGGGCTCAAAATTAATCTCAGTGTAATCTCAGTTACAACACCAGACAGGGAGGTACCACTCGAACACGCTGCTTGCCTTGCTGCTAAAAACATACCCTGGGGAAGTTATTGAAACTGTCCCCTCACCCTGACATTAATGAAAAGGCTAATCTTCTTTAAGTCTCCTCTAGCCTAGCAATCTCTTAAGGGGCTGGATACATGATTAAAAAACAGAAGGAAAGCAGCTGTCTTTTTATCCATTCTTAATTATTCCGTGGTAGTTGATAGGTGTTGATTTCCTGGGAGTGTCATGGTGATGGAGGTTACATTTCCCGGTGCTGTTGGGACTCAGTGTTCAGAGGGGGGTTGGTTGAATGGTGCTCTGGGAGCTTTGGAGATGGAAAGAGTGAGTCTTATTTTCTGCAATTTCATCTGATGATGAAAGGCTGCCTTTTCTTTGGAAACATACAGCTAAAGGCCAAAAAACAGCTATCCAATGTCAAGGCAAGAAAGCCCTCTTTAATTACCTTTTTTCTTGTTTGCTTTTTTCCCCCCCTTCTTTCTGTGTACCTCACCAGCTGGTGGCCAGGGGCATTTAAGAACAAGCATAATTAGAAAGTCAAAAATAACCCCTTGCTTTTTCCTGCTGTAACTTGAAGTTAAATAAGTATTGCAGGATTGTTCTGATTGTTCTTTCACTGCTCTCTCCAGTCCTCATTGCTTCATTTAAAATATGAGTTACTAAATTCTTGTTAATAAATTGGAGATGACTGTAAATGTTGTGCTTGTGTTTTGAGCTAGTTCTGTCTGTGTGCCACAAGGAGTCTGTTCCCTGCTTGGAAGTGCCCAGCTCTCCCAGCTGTGTTTCAGGGAAAGCTTACAAATTTGCAGGTTTTGTAAGGGCATTTTCTGTTCCTTCTGCTGTGCCCACTGATTTGCTTGTCTAATTAAGTGAGTGACAAGTGCTAGAGGAGCAATAAACAGTCTTCTGTCCTGGCACTGGCTGTCAGTCACCAGGAACATTTACTGTGCTTCTCTCTAAGTCCAGCTACTTTTTCTTCAAATGTCAAGTTCAGGGAAATTTAACTTCCAGTCCAAGGAATAAGACACATCTGAGAATGGATTGTTCTCCGTGCCCTGGCAATACCTACAGCCAGTGACATTAATCTGTTTGGGCCTCTGTTTCAGCACCTGTAGACTTGAAAATATTAATCTTGCAAGAAAGTAGGAGAAAGAATGGTTGCTTGGAAAGCATTCCAAGTTGTTGCTTAGGTAAATGGAGAGACAGAAGATTAGAGGATGTCTCTCACTTCTCCTAAAACAGCCTGAATATTCAAAGTAAATTTCCACCCGTAATATTTTTGTTAAATGAAAAGCCAACAATAAACAAACAACTGTGACTCTGAATCTATCTGCTTTCTGTTCTGCAGCCCTCTCCCATGGCAGCTGTGTGAAACAGGGCACAAAGCAAAGAAGCCTCATTCACAGAATCTGGAAGTGTGTTTTAAAGTAAAATCTCAGGCCCAAGTACATGCAGCTGAACATGTGCTTGCATACTTGTAAACTTATTATTTCTTTGGCTAATTCTTTTAGGTTGGAAAGATGTGTCAGTGGCGAACTCTGCCTTCTGCTACATGCAACACAAATTGCTCTTAGGCTGAACAGGAGCTGAAACAACCTTCCCCATGCTGAAAATAGTAATTGGGCCATTCCCACTAACCAGCCACAGGTAACTACTCTCATTTTGGAAAATGTTGTGGTTCCAGGTGTCCTGAGCTATGGTAACAGTTACTAAAATTCAAACTGTGAAAGCCAGGTATTTTAAGTTGTTAGATTTGTGGTTTATTTTTTCCTCTGGACACTAGACTTTCAACAATCAGACACCTTGTATGAGTGATAACCATAAGCACACAAGTGTTACCCACTTCTGAGATCTGAAAGTGCATTTTATTACTGGGCAGGATACAAATTTTAGTATGATACTCCGAAGTAAAAACATTCGTGCTTGGGGATGCTAGCTGTGAAAAACAATCCAGTCTTATTGATGAAAAACTCTCTTCCTAGCTCCATTATCCATTACCCCTCCTTCTCTACATCTCAGTCCCAGGAGTGCTTTGGGCAAGCAGTGCACTCTAAGCAGGACCTCTCTTTCTTTTGCTTTGTGGCAGCCTCCATTTCCAACCCATCTTTGCTGAGCATATTCTTTACCTCTAGTGATGCACCAGTGTCTGCTGGAAAGAGAGAGTTTCACTTCCTCATTTGGAAACCCTTCCACCAACGTGAACTGTTGTTGCTTTTTTGCATACTTTTGGTTTCTTTTAAGTTCTAAGCATCTTGAGGAAGGTAGATGGGATCTGATTTTTGGAGGCTTTAATCCAGTATCACTCCACTTGAAGCCCTGCAGGAGAGATGGGCAGTGAGTACTTCTGAAAGCCAGGCTGCTCCTTTTTTTATTTGTCTGTTGAAAAAAACTGTGTGTAACTACTGGAATATTATTACTTTTATGAGCTGTTGTCACTTTACCTGCCTTAACTTTGACTCTTCTGATTTCTGAGCAATTATATCTAAAAAGGCTGTATGGAAATAGGGCTTCAGCTAAAAAAAAATCCCAAAGTAACATGTACCTGTTTTAGAACTTACTGAAAACCTGAAGATGTTGAATTGAAATTCATGGCACTTCTACCAGCTCCAGCTATTTGCATCTGTAGTATAATAAAATTTAAAACTGTCTCATGTACTCTCCTATGCATTTCCTATGCCATTTGATCACATGTAGGGAAAAAAAATCAGTAGCAGCTTCTTTCTCCTCTTTGAGTATTTGGAAAGGGGAAGCCAAACATAAACATGTTCCATTTACACCAGCCTACCTGAGATGCAATTATTTTTCCAAATGCAAAGTGGTACCCTTCCAGGTACCTAAATATCCTATAGATTTTGAAGTACATTCTTTAGTTGTTCAGCAGTGAAAGTGGGCTGTTTATCAACCAGAAGTTGCTGACATCTGCTAATGTAACTCACCTGTTCTAAGTTTACTTATAAAATAATCTAGGTATTTTTGTTATGAGTTGACAATTAAAAAAAGAAGAGGGGAAGAGGAGTCAGAGTGTGAAGTTTGAAAGCAGCATAGAATCATAGAATGACTTGGGTTGGAAGGGTGCTAAATAAGGCGCCATCAAGCTCTGGCCATTGTTGTTTAGGTGGATGGTACCTCTCAGTTTTTTTAAAGGCAAGACCTGTTGAGCCTTGTGGATGATGGCTTTAACTTAAATTCTGTTTTGTAAAGTGTGCCATGCTTTTTCTTGTCTGTAAAAAAATCCCAACAGTGATCCACGAAGTCATTTTGTCTTTCTAGAAGAGGCAGAAGCACAGAAATTCAACAGGGACTATTGAATTGAAAGAATGCAAAGTTCTCAATAAAGAGGCAGAAAATGTATTTCTCTAAAAATGGCCTCTAGGACTACGTTTTCATACTCAAGTCCCTGACTATGTCATGTTCAACAGACTAGCAATTTAAAAGACATTATCAGAGATGTATCAGGAGAAGTTAGGTACTCCAGCATTTGTTATATACCAAAGTCCAGTGTTTTCAGGTCACAGTTATTTGTTTGGCTTCCACTTAACCCTCCAGCAGGGGACCAAACTCACATCTCTCCTCTCCTTGGCTGAACGCTGAGATTGTTGGAGTCCTCAGTAAAATGGTGGGTTTTTTTGTGGAGGGCATGTGTTGTTGGATCAGAGAAGGTCTCTGCATGAGGTGAGAGGGAATGACTTTTTGGAATGCTTTTGCATGAGATGGGCCTTGAGTTGGTCAGCAGTGCCAGGCCTCAGGCAGTTAAGATCATCCCAGCCCAGAAGTGTGCAGTCTGTCCCTGGAAAGGCAGCCAGAGGGGTGTTCAGTCACCTGTAAGGTGCAGCAGGGGTTTTGTGAATGACAGAGGGACCAAGGGATGGTCACAATGTCCATCCACAATGGAGTGCAGGGATGCTGCCTTCTCCTTGTGCATTGAAACCTCAGTGCAGAAAGGTCTCTTACTACTATATTTTGATTTAGGAATGTAGAAGAATGAGGTTAATGCATTTATGCGACATTCATGGTGAAAATATTTTAAGACAACCTTCTCTGTGTAACTATCTTGACTCTTCCCAGCTCCTTCAGTTAGAGTCCGCACCAGCGTGAATGCAATTTCCATGCATTGTTTCAGTCTGGAAATGAAACAATTTTCATTAATGGAAACCTGGTTCTCAAGCAGAACAATTAGACCCACTTCAGGTTGAAAAAAGATAAAAGCATGCTAATTTGGATGGAGGACTCTTCTTTCAAGGCAGCCAATTGAGTCATCAGCCAGCCACCCACCTGACTGTCTAACAGGTAATTAGGAGATAGTCCTCTTTTTGTGTGGAGCGTGTGCGTAAACCTCCACACACTGGTGTCACTGCCCATTGGGACTTCCAGGGGAAAGAGCCAGGCAGTGGCAGAAGAGTGAGGAGAGCATGTTTGTCAGACGGTGCCCAATGAACTGACTTCTTTTTTTTTTATTTAGCTTATTATTTTTGTCTTTTCAGCAGCTACCTGAAGTTTCTGGCAGTAAAGCCGTCATGGCAGACCTGGGCTGCAAAAAACCCAGCGACTGCACCGTCTCCAGGCTCCTCAGCGTAGTGGAGAGTGAACTCCGGGCTGGGAGAGACAAAGGCGACCCCACGGAGAAGCAGCTCCAGGTTGTCTTGGAGGATGCGACGCTCTGGCAGAGATTCAGGGAAGTCACTAATGAGATGATCGTGACCAAGAATGGCAGGTGAGTGATCTGCTCAGCACCGCGGGCTCAGTGGAGGTGACAGCCAGGGGGGTTAAGCTCTACAATAATAAACAGTGTGTGCAGACTCGAGAGAACTGCAATGAGCACACCAGAGTTTTTTGGGGACTGCAGCCTTGCAGTCTGCTAAAACCAGTGTACGAACAAGATGGGGTGACCCTGCTTCTTTCTGGTCACTGCCAAACCATTCCTCCTATGAAGCATGCTGGAAAAATATATTGACTAACTTGTGATTGCACAAAAAGGAAACTTCTGCAAGGGAATGCCTCTCAAACCTTTTGGAATGACTTCTTATGCTAATAATCATCATTCTATATTAACAAGTCCTCACCTGTAGGCTTCAAATTACTGCACAGAAGCAGATTGGTGCTGTCATCCCCAGCTGCAGTTCCCATCCCTCTGGCCTTGGGTATTGACAGCTTGTACAAGCAGTCTGTACCAGAATGGGTGCAATAAAACTGCCCTGTGTGCTCTCTGTGTATGTGCAGTCTGAATGCATGGTCCCACAGCTGTTGCTGGTGCCCTTAGAAACAAGAGTGGAATACTGCTTAACATACACAGTTTTAGAAGGACAAAACATTGTGGTATTAATGGATCAAGTCTTACTATTTGGGGAACACAGGCACAGGAAAAAAGTGAAAAATCTGTTGAGAAGGATGTTAATTCTGAATCAGGCACTGTCTTGAAGAAGGCTCTCCACAGAGGCTCTGCTCTGAACTGGGCTGACAGCAGAGTCCAGCCCAGAACAGACAAGCAGTTACCACAGTAAGATTTGCACAGTGGTACTAAGGTTTTTACTTTATTTATTGTCTCCAGCCCTCTGCTGCCCCTCACCCCAGCTGCTCCCTCAACATGCATATGTTTTGCAAGACCTCTCAGGAGATCCACATAAAAGAGAGGAATTAAGAGATGGAGAGAAAGATTTACTCATGTGGTGTGAGTTTCATTAATTTTTCAGACTTTGATTTAGCAGAATTTGTGGATGAAATTACTGTGGACTGTAGTTTGATGAGGGAGATAGGTGGAAGCAGTAAAAATGAAAAATCTAGTCTGTTGGCTCAGCAAGGTGATCCTGCAGCAGTTACCTTCCCAAAGTACCAGCTCCTGGTTGCCATTCTGATTCCTCCTAATAACCTATACTGATAGAAATCTGCTGCTGAGGTTCTCCTTATATCATGAAGCTGCTTTTGCTTCATTTAAATTGCTTTGAAAACTGCTATTAGGCTACAGCAAACTTCAAAGTGGACTTTTACTTGGTGCACAGTAGCTTAAACTGGCTATTTAGCAGTGAAAGTGACTAAAAATGAGGTAAGATGATTAATTAAACTGGTACAAAGAATCACACTTTACCAACAGGGTTTTTTCAGTTTGTTTCCTCTCAGCTAATGAAAATCATGACTTCACGGTGATAGTAGCTCTTTCTGAAATGTCAGGGTGAGTGCATAGATAAAATCTTTTTATAATGTTGATAAGGGAATCTTTCATTATCTGAATATGCCTGGGTACTTTTTATTTCATTGTGTAAGCTGCCTATTTTTTTTATTTTAACTTATACACTCCTTATCAGCCGGATTCTACTTTTCCTATAGCCAGTGACATCTCTAAAAATGTCAGTGAGAGCAGGAGTAGGTTCTTTATGATCAAACTACAGCAATCTCAAAATAAAAAATTATGAAAGTATGTCACACTGCCGTTTGCATGATTCCTTCTAACGTAGTTACTGTAGCATCAGAGACTATGAAAAAGGATCTCTGCATTTCTGAAAGTATCTTTCATCTGAAAACACAGCAGCACACTAAAACAAAGAAACTACAGGCTGTGGCCTGCAGCAAAGAACTCTGAACCATGCTATTCAAAAGGAGACAAACTCGAGACAATTTCCTACGAGTGCTGAGTTTTTCTCAGGTTCAGGATTCTTCAGTGATTGTCTCCAGAGAGATTCTCTGTAGAAAAAATATTGATCTCATTCTGCTGCTGCTAAATGAGTACAACAAAACCATTCTTGCTGAAGGGTAGATGAATGCTTTTGAAAACTGTGTTCTACAATGAAAGAGAAGAGCCAGCCTGAACTTTTGTGTGTGAAAACTAAAACAGTTGGTGTGGACAGACACATTGTTAGCAAAGCTCAGAAATTAAACAGAAACCCGATACAGGAGTATCCCAGAGAATGAAAGTCTAATTGATTAGTGATCCTCAAGAGTCAAATTCTGGCATGCACAATTCTATCTGCTTTGAGTCATCTCTAATTGGTACTGAGGGTCCCAAAATGTCACAGATAGATGAACCAACTTCAGTGTTAATATACAGATATGTCTCTGACTGTATCATACTTCATTACAATAATCACCTGCCCCAGCAATATGCCTAGGGGAGATAGATATATTCTGAACAGGATAGACATCATTAAAATTAGACTACGTGCTATATCACAAAATACATCCCAATGGGTGCAGCTGATACAGTGGGAAACCATCTCCTATTTTACTCAGACCTATTGTATTCAATTGACATTTCAATATCAAATGTGCTGTTACCTGACTGAGTGGGTTTCCTTTCTCTCAGTGTTTATACCACATTAGCTAGGCAGTATCCTGAGCCTTTGCAATCCCTGCTATTGCCTGGAGACAGGAAGGTGCCACTCTTCCCCTCTGTGTACGGGGAGAATCTGTAGGGCATCAGTGCTGGCTGCCACAAGTGGGGGAAAAGAAGCCCCGTCCAGGCTTGAATGCTAAAGCAACTTTACTGGTTACTGCACATTCAAGTTTGATACCAAACATCTTTCCACTCAAGGTCTGTACTGTGGAGTAATTGCAGCAGATTTGCTCTAAATAAATTGAAGAGGCTGAAGTGCTCAGCTATTGCAGCAATGGAGGTCACGTGTGCACCTACCTGGTCATTGAAACAAACACTCTGAAACAAATTTGGAGAAGTCACAATTTTCCATGCTAAAAGACAGATTTTAACAGTTAAGTCACTTAATCAGCAGAACGTGTTAGGTGGTAAGTTTCCCATCGTTAGGGTCTGTATGGTCAAGACATGCTGGTCCAAGCGAGGTGGGGAATTACTGGGTGTGACGCTGGTTAACACAAGGAAGTGCTCTAATCTTAGTTCCACAGGAGGTTAGAATTGATGGTGACTGTATTCTCTCCTGGATTGGTCTATAGGTCCTTTGGGGATAAATTTGAGCCTCTCAAATAAAAAGGCAGAGCAGCCTGCCTGCATTGTGGGCAGAGGAATTTGCAATCTGTGTGTAACACAAATAGCTCTGCGCAATCTAGTGAAATTAAATTTTCATGTGGATTAATTTTACCCTCTAATTCAATTTCAGCTATGTATCTAAATGTGGTACTTTGAACATTGACTGGGGGAGATCTAAGCATTGGAAGGAGCAATACATCCATACTTCTTATCACATCCCAGCTTTGTAGCTGATGCACCCTGATCAGAAATACACGTGCAGTGTATAAATCCTTGACTAAGCTTCTATTTAATTAGAAATGTCATGGTTCTCTGTACCTTAGAGACCAGTGAGGAGTGCTGTTCCTCAGGGGTCAGTACTGGGACTAGAGCTTTTCATTACCTTTGTTGGTGACAGGTGCACACCCTCAGCAAGTTTGCCAGCATCCCCCAGCTGTGTGCTCTGGTTGATGTGGGAAGGGAAGGGATGTCATCCAGAGAGATCTGGACTGGCTTGAGAGCAGGGCCTGTGCAAACCTCATAAAGAGAACTTATTAGCTCTGCATTAAAATACTGGGTGGCTGGGTGGAGAACTGGTTCAGAGCAGCCCTGAGGACCAGGACTCAGGAGTGTTGGTGGCTGGGTGGAGAACTGGTTCAGAGCAGCCCTGAGGACCAGGACTCAGGAGTGTTGGTGGACAAGAAGCACAACACGATTCACCAACGTGCACTGACAGCCCAGAAAGTCAAACACATCCTGGGCTGCATCAAAAGCAGCGCAGCCAGCAGGGGGAGGGAGGGGATTCTCACCCTCTGCTCCGCGCTCCTGAGACCCTTCCTGGAGTGCTGCATCCAGCCCTGAGGTCTTCAGTACAGGAAGGACATCGACCTGTTGGAGCAAGTCAGGAGGAGAGAATGGATCAACTTGGTCTAGTGGAAGGTGTTGGAGACACCAATCCAGGGACTGGGACAAGATGATCTTTAAGGTCCCTTCCAACCCAAACCATTCTATGATACCTTATTCAATACTGCACTGACCATGTATCAGCAAGTGTTAATATTAGATGAAAAATCTCAAATTTCTCAAATTCTATCTTTTCCTGTCAGCAGAAGGTGCTGAATGTATGCAGAAAAACTATATAAAGGTATCCAGAAAGGTGAGTGGGATGTCATGTGAGACTGATTGTTAGCAATTTGTATTTGGGTGTCACTGGAGAGTATGACTGCAGGGGCAGAGAGTTCCAGTCCTTTAGGACAGCCTGGAGTTTCAGCTCCCTTCTTATGTACTTTGGATGTCTTGTATGGTACCCAAGTCCTGAGAGCTACCTTACCTTAGCCCCATGGTTATGGACCTCAGGCCATTTCTCTGGTTGCTTGGTGTACTCTCTCTGTAACCACAGAGAAAAGGAGCTCAAAGATTCATCGGCCTTCATTGGCATTTATGGTCTGTAAAAGGGAGGCATGGAGAAATGGCAGTTGCCAGGAGAAGTCAGTATGGAGGTGTCTGGGGCAGGGAGGCCGGTTTCTCACGGAAAAGGAATGTAGGAGGTGATGTGTAACAGCAATTACATGTATTCCTTGACAAGCTAAGAAGCTTAAAGAATAGGATACCTTTGCTGGGAGACACCTCTGTTCTGATGTCCACACATTATCCCCAGTTCCTGGAAGTGTTGGAGCCCTATTAGCTGTATTGCTGCAGACTTTCAGGTGCATTGAGACCTCAATGTGCTAATTGAGGTCTCAATTCAGAGTTGTGTGGCATCGATTGTAAGCACTGGGGCAGACAGAAAACCACTAAAAGTCAAACTGTGGGCTCCTGCAAATCACCTTTACAGAAGAAAATGATAATAATAAAAGGGGTCTGAGAAAAGGTGGTGTTGGACCTTTAGGCACAGAAGGACCATTTTCCCAAAACTGAACAGAGGCAGGATTTTGGTTTTAAGCACACAAGATAGTGGAAGGCTGGGTAGAAGTTTAGAGCTTGCGTTTAAGATGGAACTAAAAGCAAAAGGACATGGTCAAGCTGGTGAGGTCAGGGAATATGGAAGTATGGGACCAAATGACTGGAGAAAACTGCCAAGCACAAGGTCTGATGGCTAGGGTGGATTGAAGGAAGGGAGGATGTTCTTTTATACTGAACTAGTCAGTGAGCATCTGGAAACAAACATACTGAGGAGAGTCTTTCAAGACCAGTTTCCAGTGGTGTCCCCCTGTTTTGTTTCCCCGGCCAGGCGGATGTTCCCTGTTTTGAAGATCAGCGTGTCGGGCTTGGATCCAAACGCCATGTACTCCTTCCTGCTGGACTTCGCTCCGACTGATGGCCACCGCTGGAAGTACGTCAATGGAGAGTGGGTGCCAGCAGGGAAACCAGAGCCACCGAACCACAGCTGTGTCTACATCCACCCAGACTCTCCCAACTTTGGGGCCCACTGGATGAAAGCTGCCATTTCCTTCAGCAAAGTCAAACTTACCAACAAGCTCAATGGGAGTGGGCAGGTATGGCCTGATGTTTCCACACCACCTCTTGGCTTCAATTGCAAGCACCTACCAATCAAGAAATATCAAGGGTGCATTTATGTAATTATAGAAGCCCTTACAGGCCTCTTCACCCACAGATGCCAATTATTCTCTGGAGGCCAAATGTAAACAGGGATAAACAGGCCTTAATTGGCACTTTCAGATTTTAATGGACTTCTTGATGTTAAGAGAGACAGAGTGCTGTGGTTTACTTAATCGTCAGGGGTCTTTTCAGAGTTGATCTTGTGTGCTGGGGATTTTTACATAGGACTTCAGAGAAAGGGGGGAAAAATGGCCATGGGTATTAGGTTTTTGTTGTGTTCCCCAATGTTGTTTGGTGTAAGTGGAATGTTGGCAAGAGTCAGATGGCAGAATAAAAGGCTGCTCCTAAATGAAATAATTACTATGTCTGCTTCTGCATCATGATAATTATCAATATTCTATTGAATCAGCTTTGGCCTTTGGAAAGAAACCACATGTACCAGAAATAAGTGACTTTCTCTTTGAACCCCTTAAAAATGCAAACAGGAAAATTAGTTTTGTTTCATATTTTATTTTTGATGATGCATCTAAAGGCAAAATGTTGCACAAGACCTTTTGTTAGCTTGTTTGTTTTGTACAAAACTCCTACGGTGGATGATACTTGTCAGCCCAGAATCAATTTCTTTCATGTAAATGTTATGTGTTCTCAGTCTGTTATTTCCATTAGGTTTGTGAGGTACCTCCGTAAGCTCGGTACTCTAATGAGGTAGGAAATTATCTCAGGTTTTACAGATTGGAGAACAGGAAGATGATCTGACTTTTCCTTCATTGTATGTGGAACCAGCACACAAGAGTTATTGTAGAGCATAGAACAGGATCTGAATTTGCAAATGCTTGTCTTGTGTCCAGGATCTCAGAAAAGTCAAAAGCCTCAGAAAAATATGCATGGGGGGGAAAAATGCTACAGGAAACTTGGAGGGTCAAAGAGTCTCTGGGGAAAAATAATGAGGAATCCTGCATTTATATATGAAGGAGAGGAAAACAGTAGAATGCAGGAGAGGAAAAACCGTATGAGAAACAGAACCCAAACAAATGTTACTAAATAACAAACAACTGAAGCTTCCTTTGCTTTCTTTTGAAATCAAGACCACAGTGTTAAAGTAAACCATGTCCCCACTCTGTGCTTCAGCTGCCCCTTCTGTGATGGTATTAGAAGGAAATTGATGACTGTCAGTGCTTTATGCTAATAGCTGTGTTCTTTCTTTTATATATATATATACACATATATAGGTATATATGTATGTAGGTATACATCAATTTGCAAAGTACAAATTTAAAAAACCAATATTTTTCTTGCACTAGAGCAAATTAAAGGACCTAAAAGACCTCCTGGAATCAATGCTCTTCACAGCTTTTGGTGCCAGGTTAGACACTGCCAAGGCTTGTTTAGATACACTTCATCTTGCCCAGAGAGGAGACTGGGTCGCTGCTGTAGCTTCTTCCTGGCACCTTTTCTGTGATGGTGATTCTGAGTCTTCCAGACAGCAGAAGCCAGACAGGGACTGCTCCTGAGTTGTTTCAGCAGCCTCTAGTGCAGTGAAAGCCGAGTGGTTTGGGTGCTATAGTTGCTAACACAAATACTCACAGATGCTGCTGCATCCAAAGCCTTAAATACAGCCCAGTGAAGTCTCATTCTGTTCAGCCCTGTGGTTTGCAGGGGAGGAAGGCACCTGCCCTGCTGCTTCAGCTGGGGAGGTTCAGCAGTGACAGCTGCTCTGTCACACAGCCAGAGGGTGGCTGTGAGGTACCAGAGTGGTACTGGGGGCTGTCTCTCTGTTTTGCTTCCTGCAGATAATGCTGAACTCGCTGCACAAATACGAGCCCCAGGTGCACATAGTTCGCGTAGGAGGCCCCCACCGGATGGTGATGAACTGCTCCTTCCCTGAGACCCAGTTCATAGCGGTGACTGCCTACCAGAATGAGGAGGTAGGCGGGTGCCACGCTGTGCTCTGGTCACCACTGATGAGCTCTGTTAGAAGCTGATTAACTACAAGACCAGTGTGCCTTCTTGTTTCCCCACCAGTCCCATGCAGTGTAATATTCTGTCCAGTCTAATACTCTGTATTTTCTCTGCAGTAGAACATTGACTAATCTGGTGTCTGGCTCCAGTACTAAGCCAGGTTTAGCTTAATATCCTGCCACAGCTGTTCCAGACTGGTCCATCTGTTTCGGCATCCCAACCCTTTACTGGAAAAAAAAAAGCCAAATAGCCCTACAGTCAAGCCCAATATCTTTCTCCAGCAATAACTGATAGTTATAATGATAACCCTACCTCTCCATGTTCCCTATAATACAATAGTTCATGGCAAAATTTCTGCCCTTTGGAAATTTTTGCTTTGGATTGTAAGAATTGCCAACTGCTGTGCCACATCCCTTAGCTAATGTTGCTGCAGATTTTATTCGTACCTGATAGGAATTCAGTGTTTAAAGTCTCTTGAAAGGGTGCACCATTCCACTGGATTTACCAGACCAGCTCATGCCAGGCTGCCCCAACTGGTGTTTTGCCTGTGGCACTGATCAGCAGACAGCAAAGCTGTCTCCTACCCAGCCCTGGAAAACATCAAGTGTGGGGATACATTTCAGGCTAACTCAGGCAGTTCCACTCAGATTACTCTGGAGGATGTTTTGTCACATTTCTATTTCAAATTGCCTTCACTAACATGCCTTGTTTTCTGTAAACTCAAGATAACAGCTCTCAAAATCAAGTATAATCCCTTTGCCAAAGCCTTCCTGGATGCAAAGGAAAGGTGAGTTCATCTTTTGGGTTTTTTTGATCCAGTAGCTTTTTGCTGCTGATATGGTTAAAACTGTGACATCACCAAATGAAAGATAAATTACGTAACTGAATCTTGTTTCTGCTGTCTTAAGTCCAGAGTCACTCCAATGATATTACTGGGGAGACTATATAGTTATTACAATAGGTGCTGAAGTGGGTGAACATGCTCTTGGGGATCCTGGCACTTACCTCTGTCTACACAGAGAGCCTGAAATGAGATGGTGTGAGCTTCCCTAGTAGTGTTATACCCCACATAGGTTCACTACAGCATATTTGCACTCCAGTGAATCCCGTAATTTGGTAGGCCAGGGAGAAAAATGTTAACTCCAGGTGTCAAAAAGCCTAGTTGAAGTGAAATTACAGTGTGAATGTAATGTAACTACACTGCTGTTATTAAGTCTGTGTGATAATTTATGATGGGTTTATTAAAGGTAAGATGTCAGAGATGCTTCCATCAGGAATTAATTGTAGTTTGTCTTGCAAAATTTTCCTTGCATCACCCACGCTAATGCACAGTGGCATCCGAATGACGCATTCCAGACCATAATTTCTAATTATTTTGTTTGGACCTGCTTTATCTTCTGACATATGAAGTGCCCCATGTGCCTGCAGGAGAATCTGTATTTCCTTTCATTCCTCTCACCGCTTAAGAAGCTGCTGTGTGTTGGTGTGAGGGTTTCCAGCTGGGGAAGGGGGAGTGCTGCCTTCAGCTTGTCTGCAAGCAGGAATGGTGCCCACAGGTAGATTTAGAATTCCATGTTCAGCTCCCAAATATGGCACAATCTTAGGAACATTTTTGTTTATCTCATCAGACAAAAGCTCCTGCTTCTTTTATGACAGAACATAGGAAGATTTACTGCTGCCTAGCAAGGTTATAGAGGAGGAATTTTTAATGAATAGTTCTGGTTATAACTTTTGTAGTTTTTCAATGAGAACACTTACCACTAAGTGTTTTGTTTTTCAGAAACCATTCTAAGGATGCTCCAGAGACAGTCTCTGAAGGTCAACATATGACATATTCTCACTGTAAGGTTTTCATTCATGTCAGCTACAGGTTTTGTGATTTATGATGGGTGCTGGGAACCTGGGCCTTGCTTAACTGGTTCATACTGGTCATTTACTGAGTCCTGAATTTGTGTTCATCGAGAGGTTTTAAAAAAATAAGAGTTAAGAGAACTCACATTAGGAAATAATGTGAGAGGTTGTGCAGAGGGATCATTTTCCGCACAAACCAGTTTTTCAATATTAAAAGGAATCTGGAATCAAGATGATATATAACATTTTTAAGGCTTTCTTACCCCTTTGCTTTTGTATTAGTGAATGTTTTTGTCACCTATAAAATTATCTTTCTTAGGTAAACAGGTAAAAAAATGAGGGGGAGCAGAAGTTGCATTTGCTTTACTGATAGCTTTTCTTTCATTTGTTCTTTAATGTTTGTGACATTTTCTGGTTGCTTTCAGGTCTTGTTTTCAGAGTTGGTGGGTTGGGAAGGGGGTGGAGGGTTGTTATTTTTTTGTCAATTGTTTCACAAACTAGTTTCTTGGAATCTGCTTGGTATTTCTGAGGCACAGCTGATTGTTCCAGAAGGCTGGTTATTTCTTAGTTGTATGGTAGCACTTTAATGCAGCAATAGCAATAATTCTGTTCTCTCTCTTTTCCCTCCAAGTGGGTGGCTGGTTGATTTCCAACCCGGATCCAATGTGTGCCTCGGGGAGCTCTAATTACCAGTACAGCGGACCTTTGCCTCTGCCCGCTCCGCAGGCTCCCCACAGCTGCGAGAGATACCCAGCCCTGCGAGGCCATCGCCCTGCTCCATACCCACCCTCCTACATGCAGAGGAATCACTCCCCTACAGGTACTCCTGGAGCACTGCTTTGCTGCCTCTGCCTGCCTGCCCCTTGCCTTAGGTTAGCACAAGCACTGGAGTGAGCCCAGGAAAGGGCACGGTGAGTCTTTGGGGCGACCTGCACAGAGCCCTCCGTGCACCCAGGGTGATTGAGGCAGTGAAACAGGAGGTACCAAGACAGGGTGCATCATTAGGAGTGTACTGGGTGCACTCCTAATAAACCAGAGTGTATGATGGTGTTTTCACTGCAGCTTCCAGTTATACAAAAAGCATTTCAGGTCTTCTTTCGATGTCCTGCCATGACGCAGTTGAGTTCTCAAGTCAAAGCAGCTCTCAGGTAGGAGCTGATGTGAGGCAAAGGGATTTTGGTATCGTCAGTACATCTTTTGAGTCCCTTTCGCTTTCTAGATCTGGGTGCAGAGTTCCAGAAATTGATTCTACTTTGATCAGAAGAAGTGGGTCAGAAAGAAGAGTGAGGATCAAGTAATCTGCTTGCTAATTATAATTCAACAAGAATTCCTGTTTAATAGAACTATTTATCATAGAACAGTTTGACTTGAGAGAGGCCTTAAAGATCATCTTGTTCCAACCCTCCTGCCATGGGTGGAGACACCTTCCACTAGACCAGGTTGTCCAAACCCCCACTCAACCTGGCCTTGAAAATTTCAAGGAATGGGGCAATATTTATTAGACTTTATTAAGTATTTTAGCTCAGATTATAAGGAAATCGCTATCAAAACATTGCCTGACACATTTAAATTATGAAAAACTATTACTCAGACTTGCAAAAATGCAAATCCTACATCTGTTATGCTGTACCTTCTCATGTATCACAGCTGGGATTTCAATGGCACCTTGCTATTCTCTAAGTGAACACAGGAATTTTGCCTTTTTACCTGTGGCTGGGACTTTTGTTCTCTTACCTGTGGTTGGGGACCTCATGATCAGATTGCTGCCTTAAGCCTGTATTTTGCTGTCTTAAGACAATGTCTGCAATAGTCACGGAGGATTTGTTTGTTGCTTTTTTTCCCCCCAAAGTTAACTTGTTGGAGAGCTCCAGCAATAATCTTCAGGTATTCTCAGGACATGACAGCTGGACTTTGCCACCATCTCCACACACTAACTTGCTCTCAGTGCCACACACAAAGGGAGGTGCCAGCCCTGGACCCAGGTAAGTTTACAGGAAAACTGCTGGTATGAGGAGCACTGAGGCTTGACTGCCCTGGTGATTTTCCCTTTGTTCCAAACTTTAATCAGTGTCCAAGATTTGAAATGTGTCCTAAGTGCCAAATTCAAGATTCCTGGGCAGATCTTTCTGACAAGCTAATTATCTTCTGCTCTTAAATCTATGGAAGCTTTATTTTTCCCTAGCACTGCTGAAAACCAGGATCTTGGAACACCCAGAAAGAATTCTGTTGTCTGTAATCTGTGAGCATTTTAAAACCAAATTTTCTTTTTTTTTCATGTATTTCTCACTATTATCTTTCATGAAATGAGGCTCCTATAGGAACAGATGGAATTTAGACCTAGAGAATCAATTAATTATCAAGTATTTTCTCTTCTTTTCCCCAAATGAATGCAATCATTTCTTCTCTATCTTAGGTGTCAGGAAAATCAGCTGCAATTTCAAATGCACTGTTATCTGATTGAGTATGTTTTCTTCTCAGTGTTTATACCACAGCAGCTAGGAGGTATCCTGAGACTTTGTGACCTCCCTCTCTAGAAACTTTTCTGACTCAGCTCCTGAGATGGGGGGAAGTCACAGAGGCACATAAAAATATCTTTTGATTTTTGAAACCTCACATATACTCGCACATTTCTCTCCATGCCTCCCTCCAAGCTGACCTTGATTTTTCACTTAAGATCTTCAAGGCTGATCTAGTTTGGTAACTTGGTTTGAATAGCTGCCTTTGGACAGATAATGAAATTGACTTTACTGTGACAAGTCTTATGCGGGCTAAATGCTTTGAAATAAATCATTCAATCTGTGCTGCTTTTTTTCCAGCCACTACCCTTGCCTGTGGACAGTGAGCAACAGTGCTGTAAATGCTGCCAACACGGGAAGTGAGGTGAACAGCAGCCCTCCAAGCGTGTTTTTAAGGGGTAATGTCCCCTTACCCGCTGCATCATCAGTGCAAATCCCCCTGCAGGGAATGGTGTCTGGCAGCATGGAAGCACAGGGGGAAGGCGCTCTCACCAGACTGTCCGACTCCACGTGGACATCCTCACACTCCTTTTAATGGACAGGCAGCTCCCGAGGGAAGCTCGGCCAACCAAGACAGACACAAATGGCAAATGATCCCCAAGGAGTGCAGTGCAAAGCAGAATGTATGCAGGAAAAGGACTTCATCCCTTCTCATAATGTACCTTTTGTGTGCCAGCTAAGCCAAAATGCAAAGGCAGGAGATATTACAGGACCCAGCTTGTTACTGCATCTTTTATGCATCATTCAGGATGATGTCCAGAAATAATCTTTTTAGTTAGCTTTGCTTCTATATCACATTAAAATGATCAGAGACATGGGACTGAGTGAAGCAGACATGGCAGCTGGATACTCGCATGTCATTTTAGAAGTTCCTTCTGTAACTAACGGCCAAGTCTAGGGAAAACTGTGAGCAAGTTTGCAACTGGTCATTTGAAGGGACAGCACTGCTTTAAAGGCTTTCTGAATCTCTTACACAGGGGTTTTCACAATACCTGAAACTAAACCCCTCAGGGTATGAAATTAGTCTGACATCCTAATGCCACCTGCATACAGCATTCACCATCCCCTTCCCTTCTCCAGCTGCTCTTTGCTGTGTGTGTGCCATGGGGACAGTGGGCACACTCAAGCTGCAAAAGTGGCTGCATTGTAGCAGCAGGGTGAAGGGCAGCTAGTTTAGCATTTGGAGTCTGATGCTACAGTCTTTGAAATGGAAAGTTCCAGTATTTCCAATATGTGCTATTTTTGAAAGGGTGGAGGGAAAAGAATTACAGAAAAAATATTCAGCTTGCATTTCCACTTTGCTTCAGCTATAGAGTACAAATAAACTATGAATACATGGTGTATTATCTCCTCAGTGCCTTTCCAAGGTGTAAACACACACACACACAGTCTTTCTCACCTAACAACCTCTGAGCTATTTAAAGCAGCTCTGCCAGAAGCAAATTGACAGAACAGGAATTTTCTGTTCCTTGTCCAGTTACTGGGTGCAAGCTCCTGGGCGTGGTATTTCATGTCCTCACATCTATTTCCCTTCTCACTTTGTCTACTTCAGCTTCCTTTTTCAGGCTGCTGCTTTTTCTATCCTGCATGAGTGTGCAACACAGCATAGTGGAGTCCTGATCCTGTCTTGGATTTCTAACCACGACTGTGATGCAAATAAGAACAGCCATCCCCCAGACCTCCTTGTCCTTTCATGTATCTCCTCAGTCAAGCCCTATAAAATTCTCAGAGAAGAGTTCTGCTGTTTGGTCTCTATAAAGAAAAAAACTGCAAGCTAACCTATGTAGATATGTTCCCTGTATAATGAAATGCCCAGCAGCAATTCTGGTCTGTTTAGAGTCATGTGCATTGATAGGGGACAATCCCCAGCATAGAAGAGGATTCTCTAAAGCTCCTGTGAGCTGATGTCTCTGCTTCTGCTAGATACAGCAACATTCCCTTTGTGAATACTCATTTACTGCATGCAGACTCTGGGAGCAGCATTCTATCTTGGGTGGGCATTAGAGGCAGAAGCAAGAGGAGCCTTTTGATTCAGGTTGTCAATTATGCATCTGCCTGGTGAACTCAGCAAGCTTGATATTTTATTACCTAGCCTGGAATCACCCCCTTAAGTTGCTCTCAGCGCATTTCCATGCCTTCCCCATCTGGCTTTTCAGATCTGCTGCAGACATGATCATGTGCCAGAATGCACTCAGTAACACTGAGTTAGTTTTGCTGACTTGTGCTGCAATCCCCTAATATTAAAGTAATGAAGTTGCTTTGGGTGTGCATTTTTATTAACAGAGGCATTGGTCAAACAAGGGTTAACAGAGTGCAAAGAGCTCTGCATCCTGCTGTCAGTCTAATCCTCATCAGTTCTGACTGCAAATCTGCCTTCCCACGTTCTGACAAAAGCTTGGTGATGAGTTTTTCAGTGTTATGTTTCTCTACCTTGTGGCAAGAAATGCAAGTAGGTGTTTCTCTCAAAAATAACTCTGCTTTACAAATGAGGTTTATTAACTAACTTATGCTACCCTCTTCTGGCTGTTCAGCTCCCCACAGGCACACCACACACAGAATCTACATAAAGATGCTAAAAAGCAGGCAAATGGTAACTTCTCTGTGTTCCAGGACTTGCAATGCTTCCTTCATGGTTAATGAGTTGGATAACTTCGTATTGCAGATACTGCATTACAGTAATACATGAGTGATTATAGGGAGTTCCACAAACTGCAATTTTATTTTACAAACAAACAACATAGGGGAACATCTAATTAGCTTTCCTAATCGTCCCATAGGATTGAAGAATTAAAAAAATATCAAAATGAACAGGCAAAGTAATTTTTCTTCCTTTTCACTGTAAAAGCAGCCATGACTCATGTCACGGGAGACAAAAAGTTCTGAGATCTCAGAACTGAGTTAAGTCTTTGTCATTGCAGACAATCTGATTTAGTGTGACCCTGAGAAATGACACAGAAAGATAAAATACCCTTGCTTTGCTCACTACCTGTGGCACCATCTAGGTACAAGCCGGTATTTGTAGCCCAGAGCCTTGGGCTTGAGAATAGCAGGGAGTATGCTGATCTTGAGTTTTGTGTTGGGGAGTCCTGCAGGGAGTGGGACTCAATCCTTATGGGTTCCTTCCAACTTGAGATTGTGATTCTGATCTGTGGTTTTGCAACTCTGGTAAATGATTTGGGAGCTGCTATCTGGTTTGGACAGATTACTTCTAAGCAGAAGAAGCACCAGAGAAAGCTTTTGCTATCTGTTCAGAAGAAAAACTGCAGCTCTATCTTCAAAGCTCTCCTTTTCCAGCACAATGGACTTCCCTACAGTGCACTAACAGGTTGGGATGCTGGCTGCAGTGTTCTCCTGTGGGAGGCAGATTCCCTTAAACTCTGTATAAAACTGTTCCTCTCCTAATAAACCATTACTGTGGATTTGGTTTTGCACCAACAGTGCACTTGTTTCTCAGCAGATTTCTGCTTAGCATTAAAACCCATACAATGATAATTTCTGAATGAATATTTCCCTGGTTGTTCTAAGCAATAACTGAAATGGCAGCATGAAAAGAGAGCAAAGAGCCCTCTCCCAAGTTTTTATAAATGTTTTCATCAAACTGGTTCCTGACTTTGTGGAAAAAAATATACTAAACATATAAAAATATACTAAAATATTTAAATATACTTAAAGACTGGCTCTTTTGAGATCTCTAGGGTTGCTACCTGCTATTAATGATAGTTTGTAATTTTTAACCTGATTTGGTCACAAAGCCTACAGGGTAGGTTTTTGTCCTGCCAGAACCAATGCTGGGTACACGGCTGGTAGCCCTCAGTCCTTTTATCGGGACAGACAAGGGCCCAGGGCTTGGGAACTCAGCTCCAAGCAAATCTCCATGTTATTAGAGGAGGGAATCATTTATTTTCAGTTTCTGCAGAGCTTTAGCACTGTACTCAGCTACTAAATGTGAGGTTGCAGGGTGGTTTGTGCGACAACTCATTTAAGTGTATTAAAAAAAGGAGTGGAGGGAAGTGGTTACTGAAAGCGGAAGAGCTACAAGGTAAAAAACCCGAGATGTCAGAACAACCTGGTTGTCTCTGATGCCACAGATCCTGTCCTGTGGTCTGCAGCTGTCACTGGGCCTCTGTGTCCCTGCCCCAGGGAGCCTGCCCTTAAATCCTTCCCTGGATCAGGGCTTCTCCTCAGCTTTCCCGCCTCTCCTGCTGGCCTGAGGCAGATACCTTTTGTCTCAGGCTTTTCCCTCGCCATTTATTTTCCTGGCTCTGGGACACAGGTGTTCCAGTAAGGCAGAAGAGCGTCCCTGGCTATGCCCAAGGAGATGTGGAGCAGCTTTTCCCTCAGAGCCCACAGCTCCCCAGCCATCTCCCTCTGTGAGCCCGAATGGAAGGCTGATGCCCGCCCGTCTCTGGCTGCTGTGGTGGGTGCCCTCAGCAGCAACGCAACCTCATCCCAGAAGTCCCTTCTCTCTCCTGTCCTTCACTGTGTGGAAGAGAAGGGCTTAACATGCGGCTCCAGCTGTTCTCTTCCATGACTGTGGAGTGTTAAGGGAACGTCCCTGTGCTCCCTGTTAGGCAGAAAACCCGAGACCAGATAAACACCACCTTCCTGTACTCAGCACTGGTGAGGCCACACCTGGAGTGCTGTGTCCAGTTCTGGGCCCTCAGTTTGGGAAGGAATTGAGACACTTGAGCACGTCCAGAGGAGGCAACGAGGCTGGTGAGGGGCTGGGAACACAAACCCTGTGAGGAACAACTGAGGGAGCTGGGGTTGTTTAGCCTGGAGAAAAGGAGACTCAGAGGTGGCTTTATCACTCTCTACAACTCCCTGAGAGGTGGCTGTGGTCAGGTGAGGGTCAGTCTCTCTCTCCAGGCAACAACTGACAGAAGGAAAGGACACAGTCTCAATCTGCACCAAGGGAAATATAGGTTGGATATTAGGAAAAAGTTTTTTACTGAAAGTGTGATAAAGTACTGGAATGGTTTGCCTGGGGAGGTTGTGGAGTCACCATCCCTGGAGGTGTTTAAAAAAAGACTGGATGTGGAACTTGGTGCCATGGTTTAGTTGAGGTGTTAGGCCTGGGCTGGACTCAATCTCAGAGGTCTCTTCCAACCCAGTGATTCTATTGAATTCTGTTGTTGAATTCTGTTGAATTCTCCAGTATGAGCCCAGATGCTCCCAGAGCCAGCCCTGGGTGCCCATCAACACAGACACCCATAGCCCTGTCGGTTTATGCTTGGCTGCTGCTGTTAGCCCACACTGGGTGTTCAGGGCTCACTGTTGGTTCAGGGCTCAGGTGTAGTTTTGTCCTGAAGCTGGTTCTCACCCTTGGGCAGATCCTCTGCACAGCTCATTTGGATTCTGTGTTTCTGTTTGTTCTTAAAATGAGCCTGGTAACAACTGCTAATACTTAACCATTTTTATATTTCAGCCATATATAAGGGTTATACAAGTTTGTAGGTTAAAAATAAACCTTCTAAATTTAACACACTGGTACAAATACACTGTTTCTACCTAATGGTGGCAGCTGTTGCATGTCACAGACTGGTAGGTCTGTAGAAACAATAAATAATAGTCCTTACCATAGAAATGCTAATGCTTGCTATATGGTTTGAAAGTGTCATTTTGAAAAGCTGTCAAAACATAAACTATGAGTGATTTTTATGGTGAGCTCAAAGATAGCTCATATTTTAAATGAAGAATTAATGGAACTAGGGGAGGATGTGAATTGTATGGCCTGAACACCTATAGTTTTCATAGACTTTCTGTAGGACTTGGTATAAATGACTTAAGCCTCATGGGTCAGGTACCTGAGCATCTTTTTACTGTCTCAGGGGCAGCATTGCATTATCTGGTTCTTATCTGAACCTGACGATGCAACAACTCAGGTTCTTAGCTGAAAACTGGGCATTTTGCCTTCCTCTCAGCCTCTGTAGTGGAAGATCTCTGGGATAGGAGTTCCCCTTACTGCTCATACATATAGAACTGACAAAATGAAGTCTTGTCTTGCTGCGGCCTTTCGGTGTAGTCTTACATAAAAATTCCATATCCTTGAGTGTTTGTATGTGTATCACCAGCAGAGGCAGAATCAGTAGCACTGTGATCTTAATACTCTAACACCTGTGAGTTGTGCTCTGAACAAGACATCATTGCTGTTCCCAAAACACAGCTTGATTCCAAGAAGGAAGCATTGCCTCCAAGTAATCTGGTGTGGGGAATGATGCCCCCAAATATGTTTTAGAAGTCTGTTTGCCAGGCTGTACATTTGCACTGAAATCAAGGTAAAGCTGTCTCCTGATGTTTTAGGTTGCTCTGGGAAAAAACAGGGAAGCTTCCATGTAATTCACCTCACCTTTACTTCAGTGACAAACCTGATCTGGAGGTCAGGTGCAGCCCTGGACCAGGACAGACTGTGGGCTTTGTGGGTTGCACAGGATGTCACCACCAGGAGAACCAAACACTGTGAGGATGGTCAGGTCTGGAGTTCATGTCCCCACGCCACTGTGATCTCTGTGGCTGTAACTGGCACATTGCTCCTAGAAAAGGAGTGAAGAGTCAAATTCCACGGACACAGTGTTCTTGCTGGCTGCTGTAGGCTGTACTTACTGGGTTTTACTACTGGATTGCTTTTCAGAGAGGATGTGGTAAAATCATAACTCCTGGTGATGAGATATTTACAAAGTGTCCAATTTATAACACAAAAATACACTGTAACCTTTACTGAGCTGGTGTTTGACTTTCCTGGACTTGATGCTTGCTGGGCTGTTGGTAGGATGTGTTTTCTATCCCGGTCCTGTGTTGCCTGCTGGGCTCAGCTGTGGTAGGTTTGTGCCCTGCTGCTGATAGCCCTGCCCACACTGCAGCAGCCCTTGGCTCCCCACGCTCTGCTCTGCTCTGCTGCCCCTAGCAGGTTTGTGGCTGTTTAATTTCTGTCTCACTTTTATGAAGTCCCTGCTGGTGAATGAGGCGTTCAGCAGGGCAGTCTTGAGTGTGTCCTCACCAACTTCAAATGCGTGTGGCTTTGTGTCTATAATGGGTATGGCACTTGAATCTGCAGGAGGGTGACATACTTAAAGTGTCCCTGGTCATGGGGTGTTGGCTTCTGTTGTAGAAGCTGCTAAAATGCCAAGGGAGGGCCATCAGTAGGAAAGTGCTGTTTTACTGTTCAGACCTGTACTTTCCTTGGTAAAGAAGTTGTTCCCTGCTTATACAGGTGTCACCTGTGGAGTGTTGGTGCTCTCAGAGCCAGATCTCTAGGGGAGCAGAGGAAAGAGGTATAAACCTGTTTAACATCTCTGTGTTGCCTTTGCTTGCTTGAGCTGCCTGTTCAGGCTCTGAACCCTTCTGAAAATGAACAATCTCTCCTTGTATTTTTCTTTATTTTCTCGATGTTTTTGGGAAAAACAGTAGGACTTTTAGCCACAAATATAACAATAAATAACTGGAGTGTCTTAAATTTGCATTTATTGATAATGTGGCAAATTGGGTGTGTATGCAAAGAGGTCAAGATTTTTCGTGGCCAGTATGTGTTGTTGCTATTACTGTGAAGTGCTGGTTTTGTCAAAATAAAAACTTTCTTTTTGGAAAAGGTCTATTTTCATGGATATAATGTAATTGTTTTGGAGAGGTTGAAGTTAAAATGTTTGGAAGGGAAGCTGAATTGTACTATTGCAGTTTAAACTGACTTTCACTTCAGAATTCAGAATTGTTAGGGCTTAAAAAATTAAGCAAGAGAAACTTATTTTGAGTGTACTGAATTCCTTAAATAGAGGTCTTTGACATAATTTCTTTCAAGATTTGTCTTATACTCTCTGTCAATTTGGTATATGGAGTCTTCCAGGTCATTATTTTGGGGCGGGAAAGACATAATCAAATGTTAGTTTTGCCAGAACTGTATGATTTGGTAAGAATAAAGTGGAAGAGTTGGTTATTTTTTCAAGTAACTACACACACTAATTAGGAAGGATAAAAATGTATGGATTTTAAGTGTTTTTGGAAGAGCTGCCTTAGAAACTATAGGTGGGCTAACTTGAAAGAAAGACTTAAGTGTATATACACATCTGCAAGTATTTATGCATGAAGTTTCCCCTTTCTTCCAGCAAGGTCAGTGAAAACAGTTTAAAAATTATTGTATTTTTTTTTCTGTACAGCTAATCCTTGGTTCAGAAAAACCCAAAAAACCCAACAAATCAAAACCAACCACCATAAAAAAAATAAACCAAGGCCAAAAAAAATCCAAATCAAAGAGCTTTTGAAAAAAACCTACCTTTCTTTTGTTTATATATGCCATTGGAGACAGTTACAACTTTGCTCTTTGGATGTTGCATCTCTGAATGTCTTATGCTCTCTTCTGTTCATTAGTTGTTCCCAAAGGCAGTATGAAATACAGAAGGTGCAGACTCTGCCCCTTGCCCAGAGGACTAAGGTGTTGTCAGAGCAGAAGTGTGGCAGTTTACCCAAGGGTAGGTGTGAGAGTGAAGCCCTTCTCTGTTTGGGGTGACTGTGTAACTTGGCAGAAGGGCTGAGCTGACTGGGTGTGAGGATCAGGCAACCCAGCTGATGTTCTGAGGCAGGCTTTCAGTTACTATGAAGTTCCACTCTGCAGTAGAAAGGATTTCACCAGCTGAGCATTTTCCTTTGAAACTCTAGTCTCCAGACCAGTCTATTTTAGCCCTAGGACAAGCTGTGTGCATGTGTGTCAATGGATAATCTGTATGTGTAACCCTTCCCCTAACAGTAGCTGGCAGACAGGAAACAGGACACGATCTCTATCTGACGTATTTCAATGTCCTCAGGTCCTTGCTGTCTCCTCCTATAGAAGTTCCTCTCTACCCAAGTAAATACCCAGGCAAAAGAATCCATTTGTGTAACGTATGCTGGTCAACTGCTCTAATTCAGCCCTGAAAAGTCTGCTGTCCAAAAGGGACACGTTGCTTTTTTTTATCTATTCTGTCAGCTTGCAATAAAATGTTTTGTCAAGATTTGGTCAAATCTTTCGTTTGAGTCACCTTGAGCAGTTTTTTTGTTTGTCTTTGTTCTGTTTTATATTGCTTATTGCAAGAAATCTAGTTTATGGAGCCTTCAAATGTGTTCAATAATTTCTCTGTTAGGAAGGTTGATATAGATAATCAACATAGGAATGTAGAAAGGTCAGGGAGCTCCAGGAGTATGCTTTATTCCCCTGCCATTGGAAGGAAAACATAATTCATTTTATAAACTTATCAAGATTTCTTGGAATTTCTTGGAGTCTTAGGAGCCAGTAAGCCATGGAGAAAATGATGACATTTAGAAAGATTATTTCTACCTTAAACATGTTTATGGCTAATTCATAAACATTAGTTCTCTGGACTGGTGCTGTGCTTTTCCTGAAATTATTAATTTTCTCTTTCATTTTTTTAATGTAGTTTGGGGTTTTTTGGTTGCTTTTTTATTTTTTTAACTGCTGTGCTTGGCAGCACTTCACAAATTGCCTTCTGAATACAGTTTTACATCTCATTTGGTCTTCCTTCTGCTGAAGGAGGAGATGCTTGTTTTTCCCTCAGCTGCACCTTCCTGCTGCTTCCTTTGTCCATCCACTCCATGCTGCAGGCTGAGAGTCAGCTGTGTGGACTTGTGACCTCCCTTGCTTGATGCCTGGGTGTTGTGGGACTGGGGCAAGTGGGGCTCCTTTCTGCTGGCCAGCTGTCAGATCAGATTAAAAATGTTTTATAACTGCAATCCCAGTATTAATTTTGCTGCCTAAACAAGAACAGGCTTAGTTTTATTTCACACCCTTCCTGAAGTATTTAGTTTTTCTGTTGCTGTGCTCATCCTGGTGTTTTTTTCTGTGCTGACTCAGTTGAAATTCATCCATCCTGAACTTGGTGAGCAGAGCTGTCTGCAGTATTTCAGAGTCATTCTTACTAGTGTTTTGTGTAGTGCCACAAAAACTACCCTTTTTCTTCTGGAAATACTTCAGAGTCACCCTATGGTCATGTTTGCCTCTCTCACAGAAGGTAAGCTTCCATTTTGGGCAGCACTGATGCATGAGGAATGACCTTTATTTCCCCTTGCTGCTGAGGGGAACCTATGATTCGGGACTCCTTGTAGCTTTTACAGTATTATCTGAACCAGCCTGCTTACTGCTGTGAGGTTTTGCTAAATTATTAGTGCTACCAAAAAAGCTGGAGCAGAGGGAAACCTTGGATAAGGGAGCAGATGAATTTTACCTACAAAGGGTGAAATCCTGGCAGCACTTGCACTGACTTAATAGATGTGCAATAGGAGTCAATAGAGAGCTTGTCCTTTCCCTCAGTGTCTGACTGACTTAATTGGGACCTTACATAAAATCTGATGTCTGACTGTTGAACATGTGATTCATCCCTAATTTCAGTATGGAAGTAGAAAAACAGAGGGGGAAGAAAAGCAGTGGGAAGTAGGAAACTCAACCTCCACAGAATGCTTCATATCCTATGAGATTTCAGCCAGTGTTCACCTTGGTGAAACAAAAAGCTTAACCATTGCATCCCCTGTTGTAAGGAGCCAGGTGATGTGTGAAATCAATTTGACCTGAATAAACAAGAAAGGGGGTGCACTCTCCTGCCCTAAATAACTAATTAAAAGCTATCATCTTGCATCCAACAGCAGTGGCAGCTGCCAAATTGGATGTTAAAAATATGCCTGCCAGTCTTTGAAAAGTACATGTTTGCATGGCAGTGAGAACTGGTACTTTGGCCTTTGTACAGGATGTTAAAAACCAAGGGCTGATGTCTGAGATAATGTCTGAATGTGTAATGGCTGCTTCCTCTCACTGCATAGGCTCCGCATCCCCAGCTTCTGACTCATACTGAGGTCCCAGATTTTCAGCAGAAAGCCAGCTCATTTTTACACTCCTGCAGAATTCTATCCTGACTTTGCAGAAGCCTTGTTTACAGGATAGCTGCATGTTTTCTGTTGGTTTTTTCCTGATATTTCCTTTAATCAGGAAGGGGTAAAGCTGATGCACAGGTCAGTGATCCAGAAGTGTCACTGCATGGCACAGCCCCCCATAAAATTTGCCCCTCCAGAGCAGGGGACTTTTTGTCTGTGATTGCCTGTTAGTGTCAGCATCCCAGGTTTGCCTTTCAGAAGGAAGAAAGCAAGCAAAAATAAGGTGTGGGTGAGGGGGGAAGGACAAATTCAAAGCAGAGCCACAGACACCTCAATGTTTGGGATGGTATTTTTTTCCTTTTCTGCCTGGCAGTGAGCTGCTGGTATCATTTTTTTCTTCCAAATCCAGCAGATGGTGTTAGATGGCTATTTAATGACTCGCATGGGATGGAAAGATCCTGGTGATAGAGCTGGGGGGATGCAACAAGGAACAGTTTTGTAGGGATGTTCAGTGAAACTGAAAGCTGTGATAGGCTCCTGTTTTAAGCATCTGTGTGTATGCTTTCAGCTTACTACTACTAGGGGGTGGGGAGCTTCAGAGCTGTAGTACTTGATTTAAATTGAGGTTTCCGTGACATCTATCATATTTTCCTTCTAAAGATTTAGGTCTGCTTGAGTGCAGTGGAGCAAAATAAATATAGCCAATGGCCCTTATTGAGCACCTTGGGGTTGGGAGGTGTATAAATTATTTTGGTATTTATTTTTTAATTGGATCCTTCCTTGAATACACCTTAAATGGAAAAGTGAAGTGGTACAAGCTCTCTGCAGTTCGTTCCCTGCGACAGAAGTATTTCCTAAATCCCACAGCCCATACAAAGGGGTTAAGTGAGGTGGAATGAATAAGAAGTGAGCTCAGCAGGTTGTCCACCATCCAGCCAGGTTAAAACACAGCATCAGTTTCTGACTGCTTTCTGTTAGCTGGGGTGATGAATGCACTGGGCCTTGATCAAGCTCCTAGAGAACAAGTGTCTCTCTGCACTGACCTGAATCTGTTACTGGTGA